AACATTTACATTATTTAGAATATAAAGTTAATAAAAAAAGAAACCAATACTTGAAACGATATTATCTTAATGAGAGTTTTATTTAAAAAACCTTTAATTTGTATTTAAAAATATTCAAGATAAACATGTTTCTCTCTCTCTTAACATCAATAAGATGCAGATGTGACCTGTCACAGTTGTCACAAGCGATTGGCACAAGTCGTGTTTGACTACAGTGACGTCACGGTTCAATTTTCAAAATGGAATTAGAAGAAGAAGAAGAAAAGAAAAAATAATAAAAAAATCAAAAAGAAAAAACAATTTCGATGCTAAAAGAGGAAAACATTCTGTTAAAAATGCAACGTTGTACGATTCTATGTACTAGTTCTTTGTGTACACGTTTAAAAATTCAAAAACTGAAGAAACGAATGCAACAAGCGATTGAATATGTATTTAATTAACTAAATAAACAAAACTTCTTTTAAAATGAATGGAGATTTAATAAAATAAAATAAAATTATTCATTAAAATAATTTATTTATATAAAAAATAACACTTCTTATTTTTGTCTACCTAAAAAAAAAATACAACTCATTAATTATATTTAACAGTGTTTAACTATATATTAATTGAGTTTCTATCCCTAATTAAAATTAGATATTGGTTCCTTTGAGAGGAAATTGAACAAAATTAATTTTTATTTTGTCTTTTTTTTTTTTAAATCAAAAGATATTCTTTTTATATAAATCTAAAATGTGAAAGAATGATTTTATTCATTGAAAATTATATATAATTGAGTACACAAAAGTTAATAAACGTAGAAATGATGAATTGTTCTCATTAAAAAATTCCGTATTTAAAAAATTTAAAAAACAGAGTGCTTTTTAAAAAATTAATGTCGTATTAATCTAAAAAAAACAACTCATTAATTATATTTAATAGTGTTTAATTATATATTAATTGAGTTTTTATTTCTGATTAAAATTAGATATTGGTTCCTTTCGGAAGAACTCGAACAAAATAATAATTTTTTTTTATTCTTTTTTAATTAAAAACAAAATCAATAAATTGGTTTATTCGTTTTTAAATTGGATACCGCTAAATCCAGGAATGTTGCTCATTTTGTAAATTAGGCAAATTTTCAGCCGAATTTTCGAAATAGGCTAATATTAAAATACTTATTTCGTGAAATCGTCGTTTTATATTTTTCAATAAAATGCCGACATTTGTTTCGCTCATTGAATTATGGCTTAGAAATCTTCTTACTTGAAGATTTCTAAGCCATAATTGAACAAACGGCATTATAAAATGTATTGTAAGCTTTAAAAAATCAAATGAAATACGTAAAAATGAAAATGACGTCATACTTAGTTCCGGTTTCGTCAGCAAGATGGCGGAAAGCGGAATTATAAAGTAAACGGCTTTAACCAATGATTATTTTATTGGTTTTTAATTACATATTAATAATTATTATGTAATTAATAAGCTAATTTTTATGTAATCTGGTAAATAATTTTCTTCAAATATTTATCAAATATTTTACTTTTTTGGCTTATATTAGATATTGAATTAGATGGATATTAGAGTTAAACGTTAATTTTACAATAGTAAGCTATTATTTAAATATTACATTAACACTAGAATAGGGCGTAAACATGTAATAGAGAAATAACTTACAGCAAAAACTTTAAAATTAGAGGGCGCATTATCCTACGGGGAAAGAGGGCAATTGTCTGGGCCTCACCATCAGGGGTCCCAAACCAATTTTTTATAAGAAAATATTTTCTCCAAGAAATTCTCCCGAAGAAAATTGTTTTAAGTCAACACTACTTGGGGGCCTCTAATTCTAATTCGCCTGGGCCTCATAAAACTATAATACGCCACTGCTGGATAAGCAAGCTAAGCCGTTTCAAATTAAACTGTCTACATCATTGGTAACCAGCTGTATTAAAGCCACTTTTTCAGGCAATGCACCCAGAAACTCCAAAACAAAATGAATGCTTTCCAATAATGTTGCAAACTCAAAATTTAAATTTATAGCTAGACATTTCAATAAAAATAGTCAAATCCACTAAATCTAGTTTAAAAAAATTGCTAAATTGTCAACTTTGTCCTCCAAAATACGTAAATTTATAGATTTAACACAATTTTGCCCTAATGTTACTTGGCGCAATTGCCAATTTCGTGAACTTGGCAATAAGTCAGATTAGTGAAATCGAAATCGGCACATCAACTGGCGATTTCACGAAATGAGAAACATTCCCGGTTTCAACGTAACGTATAAAAATACAACGCCATATTAATTTTAAACTAAAAAAATTAATTCATTAATCTAGAATTTTTAATTTTGTTTAATATTATAATGCGGAAAATTAAGAGGAATTAATACTTAATTCGAATTATTATATACAAATTTGTTTTTTTTTATAACGTAAAACCATAAAAGTTCCTATAAATTGAATATGGAATTGAGAAGAATTACTCCTAAATTTGAATTATTATATAAACATTTACATTATTTAGAATATAAAGTTAATAAAAAAAGAAACCAATACTTGAAACGATATTATCTTAATGAGAGTTTTATTTAAAAAACCTTTAATTTGTATTTAAAAATATTCAAGATAAACATGTTTCTCTCTCTCTTAACATCAATAAGATGCAGATGTGACCTGTCACAGTTGTCACAAGCGATTGGCACAAGTCGTGTTTGACTACAGTGACGTCACGGTTCAATTTTCAAAATGGAATTAGAAGAAGAAGAAGAAAAGAAAAAATAATAAAAAAATCAAAAAGAAAAAACAATTTCGATGCTAAAAGAGGAAAACATTCTGTTAAAAATGCAACGTTGTACGATTCTATGTACTAGTTCTTTGTGTACACGTTTAAAAATTCAAAAACTGAAGAAACGAATGCAACAAGCGATTGAATATGTATTTAATTAACTAAATAAACAAAACTTCTTTTAAAATGAATGGAGATTTAATAAAATAAAATAAAATTATTCATTAAAATAATTTATTTATATAAAAAATAACACTTCTTATTTTTGTCTACCTAAAAAAAAAATACAACTCATTAATTATATTTAACAGTGTTTAACTATATATTAATTGAGTTTCTATCCCTAATTAAAATTAGATATTGGTTCCTTTGAGAGGAAATTGAACAAAATTAATTTTTATTTTGTCTTTTTTTTTTTTAAATCAAAAGATATTCTTTTTATATAAATCTAAAATGTGAAAGAATGATTTTATTCATTGAAAATTATATATAATTGAGTACACAAAAGTTAATAAACGTAGAAATGATGAATTGTTCTCATTAAAAAATTCCGTATTTAAAAAATTTAAAAAACAGAGTGCTTTTTAAAAAATTAATGTCGTATTAATCTAAAAAAAACAACTCATTAATTATATTTAATAGTGTTTAATTATATATTAATTGAGTTTTTATTTCTGATTAAAATTAGATATTGGTTCCTTTCGGAAGAACTCGAACAAAATAATAATTTTTTTTTATTCTTTTTTAATTAAAAACAAAATCAATAAATTGGTTTATTCGTTTTTAAATTGGATACCGCTAAATCCAGGAATGTTGCTCATTTTGTAAATTAGGCAAATTTTCAGCCGAATTTTCGAAATAGGCTAATATTAAAATACTTATTTCGTGAAATCGTCGTTTTATATTTTTCAATAAAATGCCGACATTTGTTTCGCTCATTGAATTATGGCTTAGAAATCTTCTTACTTGAAGATTTCTAAGCCATAATTGAACAAACGGCATTATAAAATGTATTGTAAGCTTTAAAAAATCAAATGAAATACGTAAAAATGAAAATGACGTCATACTTAGTTCCGGTTTCGTCAGCAAGATGGCGGAAAGCGGAATTATAAAGTAAACGGCTTTAACCAATGATTATTTTATTGGTTTTTAATTACATATTAATAATTATTATGTAATTAATAAGCTAATTTTTATGTAATCTGGTAAATAATTTTCTTCAAATATTTATCAAATATTTTACTTTTTTGGCTTATATTAGATATTGAATTAGATGGATATTAGAGTTAAACGTTAATTTTACAATAGTAAGCTATTATTTAAATATTACATTAACACTAGAATAGGGCGTAAACATGTAATAGAGAAATAACTTACAGCAAAAACTTTAAAATTAGAGGGCGCATTATCCTACGGGGAAAGAGGGCAATTGTCTGGGCCTCACCATCAGGGGTCCCAAACCAATTTTTTATAAGAAAATATTTTCTCCAAGAAATTCTCCCGAAGAAAATTGTTTTAAGTCAACACTACTTGGGGGCCTCTAATTCTAATTCGCCTGGGCCTCATAAAACTATAATACGCCACTGCTGGATAAGCAAGCTAAGCCGTTTCAAATTAAACTGTCTACATCATTGGTAACCAGCTGTATTAAAGCCACTTTTTCAGGCAATGCACCCAGAAACTCCAAAACAAAATGAATGCTTTCCAATAATGTTGCAAACTCAAAATTTAAATTTATAGCTAGACATTTCAATAAAAATAGTCAAATCCACTAAATCTAGTTTAAAAAAATTGCTAAATTGTCAACTTTGTCCTCCAAAATACGTAAATTTATAGATTTAACACAATTTTGCCCTAATGTTACTTGGCGCAATTGCCAATTTCGTGAACTTGGCAATAAGTCAGATTAGTGAAATGAGAAATCGGCACATCAACTGGCGATTTCACGAAATGAGAAACATTCCCGGTTTCAACGTAACGTATAAAAATACAACGCCATATTAATTTTAAACTAAAAAAATTAATTCATTAATCTAGAATTTTTAATTTTGTTTAATAATGTTTAAANTAACCCTAATATGCTTTAAAAAATTGCTTACATTTTTCTTAAAATTTAAAAAAATATAAATTATAGTAAAATTCTTTTAACACAAACGTATATATCATACAGTATATACAGACAAATTTTTATGGATTTTTTTTTAAGAATTTTTAGAAATGAATGATGTGTATCTCACCTGGTATTCATCCAACAATAAATCATGGGATTATACATGGAATTGGACATGGCCAACCAGTAAATAAATAGATAAATTTGCGGTGTATAATCCGAGTCAATAATAGCGGGAAGATGATGAGCCAAAATAAAGTAAACGTGATAGGGCAACCAGCATACAGCGAATATAAAAACAACAACGATCATCATTTTCACAATCTGAAAAATCCAAATAATTTATAAAGAAAATTAATTATTTTGTTTTTATTTTTTAAAGATATATTCTTTTTAAAAGTCAAATATATGTATATATATTTCTAATTATGTTGGAAAGGATGATTAGAGAATGTAAGAGATGTTGTTGAGGGTGATGGAAGAAGATGAAGAAACATAAGAGAAGGTGATAGATGATAAAGATGTTCAAAGGTTATAAGCAGGATGAGGAGAATTAGAATGTTGAAAACATGTTAGAAGGATGCTTGAAGATGGGATGTTGAGTTGTTAGAGAAATGAGGCTAAGATAAATTAATTTAATAAATTTTAAATTTAAATATATAATACTTTATTAATTAAATTTTAAATTCAAATTTATATTTTTATAATTTTAAGTAAAATGTTTTATTAAGCAAATAAAACATTTGCTTAATGTGTAAAATGTTTTATTAAGCAAATAAAACATTTTACTTAAAAATTTAAATTAGAATTTTATTAACTAATTTAAATTTATATAATAAAAATATAGTATAATATAGTACTATATATTACTGTAATGTACTTATACAATAAATTTGTAGCATGTTATTAAATGCTTAATATATTGTATAATAGACTAATATGCTTTTATATGTTATATAACGTACGAAAACATTTTAATATTTTATAGGGGAGACCGGGGCAAGATCGGCATGTTAAGCTTTACTTAAATTTTGTGTAATAAATACTGCTGTAAATTGAAAAAAAAGCTTTGCATATTGTCTATTGGAATGTTACCTTACTATAGAACTGGTTAAAATCAGTTTGGAAATAAAAATAATTAAAATAATTACAACTTTACAAGAAGAGAGAAATTGACGAAGTTGCCCCGG